TTTCTAACGGAATAATCCAGGGATGCAGTCCTTTTAGACAACAGCTGCTGCTTGTGACGCTCCAGTCAGAAATAGGTGTGGTGAGAAATTTGATATGGTTTCTCTTGTATTTCATCCAAACAGATCTTTGCTTAATAAAAACTCAAGGAAAGCAAAAAGGAACTCAAGGGGGAAAAAAACAACATTACCCATGATTCTGCAAAGAAATATCCGCCAATCAGATAATCAAAACAAGCAAATCACACCAAAAGGACTCTTTAGCACCTTCCCGAAGCACTCCGTATAGTGGTTAAACGGATCGTAGTTGATCCGTGATCCGTACGGACCAAGCCCCATGGTTCGGCACGCATGTGATCCGCGGATTAATTGCAAAATTTAACCATAATAGAGTATAAGTTTATCATTTGTCTGTGTTTACACAAGCAAGTGAATTTTAAACAATTCCAGAGAGAAAAGACAAAAGGGAACTCAATTCATTACTCGCGCGCTGTTCTCTACGCGCACAGCCGCACACGCATTTCAGACAGCGCGCAAACACCGAACTGAATCCTCTGAACAGACACATACACATACAATTATGACAAAATACCCATGTCGACAATCATTCAGGTAAACGCAGTCAGTTATGTCTCAAGTGAATGAAAACAGCTGAGAAAGAAATGTGTATCATCATTATATGTCTCAAAGGTATCAAAGAAGTACTTCGTTTTAAGTAATAAATGGAAAGCAAGTTCAATTAAAATATTTTTCTTTTCTTGCTGATCCGAAAAATGATCCGATCCATGGGTCAAAAACCGTAATGTGATCCGAACCGTGAGATTTGTGATCCGTTGAACCACTAACTTCGAATGACGTGATAGTCAGTCTCCCTGCTCTCAAACTACTTTATCTGTAACACAATCAACATATTTAAATCAGCAGTATTGTATGTACACTGCCGTTCAAAAGTTTGAGATCAGTAAAATTTGTAATGTTTTTTTTTTTTAAGTCTCTTCTGCTCATCAAGGCTGCATTTATTTGATCAGAAATACGGGGGGGAAAAAACAGTAATATTGTGAAATATTATTGCAATTTAAAATAATGGTTTTTTATTTTTATATACTTTAAAATATAATTAATTCCTGTGATGCAAATGTGAATTTTCATCAGCATCATTACTCCAGTTTTCAGTGTCATATGATCCTTCAGAAATCATTCTTAAATGCTGATTTATTATCAATATTGGAAATAGTTTTGCATCACAGCTTTGCATCACAGATATAAATTAAATTTTAAAGTATATTAAAATGGAAAACCATTATTTTAAATTACTTCTTTAAATCACATTAAAAATCTTACTGATCCCAAACTTTTGAACAGCAGTGTAACTGTCTTTTTTAATTCATCTTTTTCAAATATCATTTTTAAGCCATTAAGTACACAGCCTTGCACCCCGGGGTGCCGTAACGGTGGGAAAGGTTAGGACGATTCCAAGGGCTCAGATCAGAGAGGGGCCCGATGCTATCTGAAAGGGGGCCGATCGTGAGATTTCTAGAACTGGCAGATTTAAATTCAAGTTTGAAATGCAGCAATTCACCTAGTAAAGGACTGGTTTGAGTCTTTTGACACTCAAGCTGCATTCACACTATCAGTGACACGTAGTGACAAATTCCCATTCATTTTAATAGAGAGCTGGCAATTTCCGGCGACACAAGCAACAGGGGCTGTTGGTGACAGGATGTAGGCGTGTCCTGCGCCGGGACAAAGTTGAGAGATGTTTAACTTTATGCAAATGAAGAGCAACTTTCGGGAGCGACAACCAATAGGAGTGAAGTCAGTGGAGTGCACATGATCTGTCAACTAGGCCTATACATCCTGTAGTGGAGTGTCGAAGCAAGATGGAAGTTCATTTTAGCAGTCATCAACTTTCCTATAATTTCTGATATGTCTCCGTGTACATACGGTGGTACTTGCCATGTTGACTCTGAGCCTGAATGGTTTTGTGAACCCAGATAGACTAGCGCTTGTGCTTTTGCGGCAGATAAATGAGCACTCACTGTTTCTTGTTCCTCTTTAATATTAAGCATTCTGTTGATTCCATTTCTTCTTGGTCTTGTATTTATGAGTAACATCCATAAATATCATTCTTAAATGTTACACTGTAAAAATTATTCAGGGGACCTGTTGCCACAAATTAAATAAAGGTTGCAAGTTAAAAATTCTTAATTCATATTTTAATTAAACCTTTTAAGTTGCCAACATTATTTTGATGAGTTATGTTGACATAATATTGATTATTGCATCAACTTAATATAATGTATAATGCAAACTCAAATTTCTGCGTTGCTTGAATTTCTTCAAAAATTAAGTTGTAGTAACTCAAATTGTCTTGTTAACTTTGGAAATTGGGTAGTGGATTTCTAGATCCCAGCATGCTTTGCGTAGGATTGGATAAGGAGAGTAAATGTTGAAATTAAGTGTTATTTTATGTGTGTGTGAGTGTGTGTGTGTGTGTGTGTGTGTGTTTTAGTGGAGGAAAAGACCCGTTAGTGTTTAATGCTGTAATGTTTGACATTTGTAAGAGTTTCTGTAATGTTGAAGTTTTTATGGTTACCATTGTGCTGAAAAGCAGACCACAATAAGGTAAACACTACATTGACACTACAGGCAAAGATTTTTCTATAATGCCAGAGTGCAATTAACATCTTACTTAACATCTTGCTAAATAAGTTACATTGATCATGTGCTATTACAGCTGTGGATTTTAACTAAAAATTGGTTCCAGGCTTACAAATCCTTCTTTTTTTTTTTTTGAGTAATCAACTTAGAAATGTGTTTGTGTTACAAATTATTAGGTTGCTCTAACTCAATGTAGTTTGTTGATTGAACAATTTCATTAGAAGTTGTCATAACTCAAAATTGAAGCAAATTGTTGCATTTTTATTTTAGCTTCACAATTTTTTTTAAATCTATGGGGGGAAAAAATTAAGAAAAAAAACAACAACTTTGGGAACCAAGGCCAGTGGTTGGTCACTGCTGCGCTCCATAGTGAAGAAAATAATGGAGTGACTCTGTTCCAGTGCAGCTTTCAGTTTGTGTAGCTTGGTGAAAAAAAGTTTGATGTTTTGGCTTCTTTTGGAACTAATTGCATTGGCAAAGAAGAAATATATGTACTAACTGGCCAAATGCAAGTTACTCCATATTAACAATATCAAGACTCGCTTGTGTGATGCTATGTGTATATAATTCTCATCTATGTCAATTCATATTCCTTTAAACGAATTTTAGGAGTTGACACTTAAATGAAACATAATTAAGAACTCAATCAAGTCTCCTGTGAAATTAACAACCTGATCAATGCGATTTCTTAGTTCTAACAAAGCAGTGTTGTGAGCTTTATGACTGATGAAAGTTCCAGAGGAATGGTAATGCACAGTCGTGGCCAAAAGTTTTGGCAGTGACATAAATTGTGTTTTGCAAAGTTTGCTGCTTCAGTATTTGTAGATTATTTTTCCACATGACTCTAAGGTATACTGAAAAACAATGATAAGCATATCATAAGTAAGCATATCACAATGATAAGCATATCATAAGTTTTAAAGGCTTTTATTAGCAAAAACATATAATGAGTCAATATTTACAGTGTTGACCCTTGTTCTTCATAACGTTTGCAATACACTTCTGGGCCAAATCCTGACTGATGGCGATCCATTCTTGCCTTATTAGTTCTCGGTGTTGATCACAATTTGTGGGGTTCTGCTTGTCCACTCGGCCAGAATTATGAGCGAGCCTACTCCCTTGGTTGAAAAGCAACCCCACACATGGATGGTCTCAGGATGCTTCGCTGTTGGCACGTCACAGGACTCAAGGTAGCGTTCACCTTTTCTTCTCCAAACAATCGATTTTCCAGAGGTCCCAAACAGTCAGAAGGGAACTCCATCCGAGAAAATAACTGCACCAGTCTTCTGCGGTCCAATCCTTGTACTTTCTGCAGAATTTCAGTCTGTCCTTGATGTTTTTCTCGGAGAGAAGTTGCTTCTTTGCTGCCCTTCTTGACACCAGGCTGTTGTCTAAAAGTCTTGGCCTCACGGTGCGTGCAGATGCTCTCACACCAGCCTGCTGCCATTCCTGAGCAAGCTCTGCACTGCTGGTGACACGATTCCGTAGCTGACTCCTCAGGAGGAGACGGTCCTGGCGCTTGCTGGACACTCTGGGACGTCCTGAAGACTTCTTCAAGGCAGTCGAACCTCTCTCCTTGAAGTTCTTGATGATCCGGTAAATGGTTCTTTCAGGTGCAATATTCTTTGTAGCAATTTCCTTGCATGTGAGGCCATTTTGATGCAAAGCGATGATGGCTGCAAGTGTTTCTTTGGAGGTAACCATTTCTAACAAAAACACAATGATTGGAAGCGCTTCTTCCCTCCTTTTATAGCAATCAGTCTGCTCTTACAATCTAATTAGTATGATAGTGATTTCACCTGACTAGTACTACTTCACACCTTCACATGTGCTGCTGATATTAGTCAATTAATGTTAGCTGGTGAAAATTGTTGTTGTTTTTTTTTTTGTGAAAAGTTCTTTTTTTTGGCCAATGAAACTTTTAGCAATTATTTAAAATGCATCTGATCACTCTACAGAATAATCTAGAAACAATGTGAATGAAAACCACATCAGCTTAAGCTGCAAACTTTGCAAAACACAATTTATGTCACTGCCAAAACTTTTGGCCACGACTGTAAGAGTCAACGCATCTGTTCGCACGACCATGGACTAACATATTCCCAAATATCGATCCGATATACGGCAGCATCAGCGTGTGCTGGGTCCCAGGTCATCTGCCAATAACTTTATGACTGACAGCCGCACCTTGCACAAAAGCCCCGCCGCATTCACCCAAGTGCGCCACAAACATACTGATATGATACAGGCGAGTATGAATGAGTGTTTCTCATTTTGCCGGACAAGGTCTTCATCAATCGATCTGCCCTTGCGCATGTCTTAATAAGCGGGTATGTACTTACGTGGCGTGGTGCTGGGTGTTAAGGAGGCTGGCATCGCCCCACTCATGTTACCCGCGATCGTCGTCAACGGATGAACTCGGACACGGACTGTAGTGTCCAGAGACTCGTGAGCTTTGAGCTGCGCTTACATTCACAGCTACTGTTTCCTCATTCTTATCACTGCTGTGAGGAACATCCCACTCTTAAAGTTGTAACCCCGTACCTCATAGTGATTTCTTCACACGGTCAAGTGCGACTCGGATTCAAAAGCAGAAAAATCCCCAGGACAAAAAGCGTTTGTAAAGTTTTTACGTGTACAAACAAAATTGTCCTGTATGTGCATATGGGAGAATGGTGTCAGTTTGCGTACAGACAGTGCATCTCCAGTCCTGCAGGGGGCAGCACGCCTCTACACGTGTACAAGCAGCAAGAAACAGAGGAAGAGGGAACCCGGAAAAAAGTCTAAACAACAGCAGCTTCTAGCAGTCACGCAGCAAACTAGCGCAAAGAAGCAAGTTGATAAGAGTATGTTGTGATTTTGTGTTTTGTGTGGCAAATACTGTATTCACAAAGAAGCAAGTTGATAAGAGTATGTTGTGATTTTGTGTGGCAAATACTGTATTCACAAACAAACGTTTTCAAAGCGTATTTCAACATGTAACTTATTTTTGCATGAAATGTAAATCACTGCCAGAATCTTTAATGAACAAAAAAAAAAACCCTATAAAATTTTATTGAGAAATTCTTTACAATAGTATAACGTTAGCCCTTCTATACAACCCAAAATATTATGATCTTGAGTTTGTTTTTGGGGAAAGGGAAGACAATTTCATTTTTCTTTCTTTTCAGAATATGTAATTTAGTGTTAATTAAAATAATCTGTACTTATTTACGATTTTTTTTTTTAAATGGGTGAAACGTCCGACACGCTGGAGATCGTTGCTAGATATGTTCACTGTTCTACTGATCACTGATTTTTTAATAAAAAGGAGTTTATGTTTGTAATGATGCTCGCTGTGTTCTGATTACCTCTTTCCGAAAGTGTTAAATGAAAACACACAAAATGTATTAATAAAATTTAAATAGATAAACCTTTCTGCAAAATAAATAAATCTTCATATATTTTACACTAGATATGTCTCACTTCTGTGTACTTTTTTTTTTGTTTTAAATGGGTAAGAAAGACTAACTTCAAACACGAGATTAACAGTTTGACCACACGATCTATCATCGCAAATGTTTCTCACCTTCACTTAGGTGACTAATACTAGTCAAAACCTGGAGCTTCAACAACCTTTCTGATCCAGATCCATATTACACTATGGTGACATATTTCACACAATGTTTTCACATTAAACAAGAGTGGCACTGTTTTATCTACAAAGGACTGTGCTTTAAAACACTTTATTTCTTTAAAAACACACACCCATAAAATATCTTTGGGTACCCAACCCTGCTCCTGGCGATCGACTGTCCTGCAAAGTTTAGCTCCAACTCTAATCAAAGACACCTGCCTTTAATTTTTAAGTGATCCTGAAGACCCTAATTAGTTGCTTCAGGTGTGTTTGATTAGGGTTGGAGCTGAACTTTGCAGGACAGTCGATCGCCAGGAGCAGGGCTGGGCACCCCTGACGTATAACATCAAAATGTAACACTTAAAAGTCCACTTTTTTATTATTTTTTACCCTTAAATAGATGGTTAGTATTTATTTAGCCGTCTTACTTTGACATGGAGCGGGACCTAATGAGGGTTGCCATGTTGAGATCACATGACCAGCAAAATAATACTTGTTTTATTTCAGTAACCTGACAGCACTTATCTGACTGCACCTTTAAACTACCCATGATACCATTTTTTAAAAGGAATTTTCACTAGATGAAACATAACACTCCTGTTAGGTTTATTAAGTCACACCCAACTGTTCTACCAGATCCAAAAATACAAGCATTTAAACCCGTGTTAGTTTTCTTATAACACACCTCATGATGTTCATGTGTGACTCAGATAATTTAGCACACACTAGTGTGGCTCTGAGGACACGTGTCTCTGTAATGGCAGAGCTCCTTGCACTCAGTGTCAAATCAGCTCTGTGGCAGCTCCAGGTGAATTGAAATCATGGCTGCAGAGAATTTGTGTTCAGCTTTCATTTAAAAAAAAAAAAAAAAAGGGCACAGAGACATTTAATCCATACATTTCAATCCATCGTTTCTTCTCAAGCATCTCTTTAATCTTCACCTTTTCCTCCAGTTTTGCTCAGCTATAAAAAAGAAAAAAAAAAGAAAACAAGAAATATGTAAACAGATTATAAGCTTGCACTACCCTTCAAAGGTTTGTGGTTTTTAAGAGTTTCTGAAAAAAGTATCTTATGCTCAACAAGGCTGCATTTGTTTGATTAAAAATACAATATAAGTAATATTGAGAAAAAATATTACATTTAAAACAACTGTTTTCTATTGTAATTGTTTAATGTAATTTATTCCAATTTAATGCATGCATGCTTAATAAAAGTATAAATTTCTTAAAAAAAAAAAAAACTGACAACAAACTTTGTAGTAGCAGTGTTTCTTTGTGATGCTGTTGTACAATGGTTTACAGTTTTTAAAAACTATAAACAGTGTTTATAGTCTAGTACAGGGTTCCTCAAATCTTGCCCTGGAGGGCCAATGCGCTGCAGAGTTTAGCTCCAACCCTGATCAAACTCACCTACCTGTGATTTTCTAATGATCCTGAAGACATTGATTAGCATGCTCAGGTGTGTTTGATTAGGGTTAGAGCTAAACTATGCAGCAAAGTGCATCTCGTGGGCCAGATTTGAGGATCCCTGGTCTAGTATGTCACTGATATGATTACATGAAGATTTCATTCAAAATAGAGGCCCCAAAATATTTGAATACTCTAGTCATACCATAATTCGTATGCCATTACAACAGAATATCAAATCAAGCAGCATCTGCAAATATATACAATGCAAGACATTTTCTGAAAAATTTTTGAATTACTTAAAACCAATTCTCCCAAGTTGATTTGCAGTAGATGTATGCCATCAGTTCGCATGAAATTCACACATGTGTCCTATAGCAGAGTAACCACAGGTGGACTTCATCATATGAACTATGCCCAAACACTTGTCTATTGTCCATCTGTCTTATTTTCTTATCTAAAAAAAACACGCATGTCAAATTTCTGGAAAATGCTTGTGTTTTCTTTAAAATAAACACCATTTGGTTTGATTCTTTTTTTAATCTAATGTCAACAATTTTGCTTAAATTGACTTTAGAGTGCAAATACTTCTTGGAACCACTGTATATTATATCTTGTAAATACATGTATATTTTATACACATAAACTGCTTACATGCTGTTTGTTGGACAGAAAAGGTGGTAATGTATGGACGAGATCCCCATGCAAAAGAGAAAAAAGACAAGACATTATAAACAAGTCCCTGAAAATTTCAGAATGTGCACTCATTACATATAAAATGGCATTTACAGTAAATCTTTTCAATTTAGCTTACCTTAATAACATCTACCCAGTCCCAACCTCTTGGCAGTTCACCCTTATTATCTGTTCATTGCAAAGAGCAGTTTCACATCAGTGTGCATTCAAACAACAAAGCCAATTTTTTATTGCCAACGATACTAACCTGTTCTTCCAATCAGTTTCCTCTTCTGTGCTTTGGTTAGTTGCTCTTTCTTCTCCTTCTTCTTACTAACAGAGGTGGAATTATTCATGACATCGCTGTTGGATATCAGGGTCTGCGAAACAATAGAGTCGTTACATTATTTACAGGAGTGACAAAGTCATTCTAAACAATCTGAATGCAGAAAAGCGGTTTCCATAGCTACAAGAGACCTTCACCAGTTACAAATATGCTGCTGTATTCTTTGAGGTGAAGTGACTGTATAAACATATAAAGTCAAATAAATCAGAAAGCAGTAGTCCAGAGATTTCACAATATATTCAGACAGTCCAACACTTCAAGAATACAGACCACAGCGGATGTCACAGGCTGATGGTTTTCCATGAGTGTTTCCTGGTTCTCTTTGCCCCACTCAAAGAGCGTGTACATCATGGCAGTACCCAGGTTGGCCTCTACCTGTTCACTCAATTTGGAAAGAATGTACTGCTTTGTCTCCAGGGATCTAAAAATAGATTTTTGATTTTTTTTAAATCCTGTTAAACCTAATTACATACAGTGTAAATCTAATACAACTGACAACTATTCAAAAGTTTGGGGTCAGTACTTTTTTAAATTTAGACCCATTAAATTTACAAATGGCCACTCCCACTATTACGGGAAAAATAAGGTGGATAACGATTGTGTATATTAAAAATATAACATTCCTACTGCTAAAAATCCAACACATCTAGGTCAAGGACAATCGATGAACTTAGGTTAGAACAGGGCTGTCCAAACTCGGTCCTGGAGGGCCGGTGTCCTGCAGAGTTTAGCTCCAACTTGCCTCAACACACCTGACTGGAAGTTTCTATGCCTAGTAAGAGCTTGATTAGCTGGTTCGGGTGTGTTTAATTAGGGTTGGAGCTAAACTCTGCAGGACACCGGCCCTCCAGGACCGAGTTTGGACAGCCCTAGGTTAGAACATTTCAGCCAAGAAAGCCACAATTAAAAGCCAACACAATTATACAGAGAACAACTTACATTCTGTTGTTGAAAAAAGTATCTAATGATATGTGCGGGGCAGTTTCAGGATAGTTCTCTGGCCATGACACTTCTAGCAGGAAGGATTTGGAGTCATCAAGATCTCCTATCTACAAATAAACAAAGGAAAAGACACTGTTCTGACACAAACCATGGCATTACCACAAACCTTTGGAGATGATGCAACATGCAACATACCGCTAAAGGTTTTTGGAATTGTATTAATACGGTTTCATCTGAATACTACAATATATGAATGTGTAATGTAAATAGTCCCATTATCTGTATGCCTTAAATAAAACATCTCTGTAAGCCAAAGTGAACCGTATTTGGTGTTTTTATTACATTTGTCACACCACTCAAGTATTTGTATTGAGAAGCAGTTCTTACCCTGAACTGAAAGGAAACAGGGCTGAGCTCTTTAAAGCAGTCATCTCCTTCATAGATAGAGCGCAGAGCCTCCAACTCCATCTGCACATATACACTTCAGATTATCACAACACTACCATGGTATTACCATGTTTTGGTCATATACCGTGGTATATTTCAAGTATATTTAAAAATGCAATGGTACATAAAAATGGTATACATACAGTAATAGCATCGCTGTACCATGATACAACCACTGTAATTGTTGTATAATGTTAAATATTACATTTCAGAACCAAACGTGGGTATAAACATGAAGTTCATTAAGTATGTGATTAAGTTAGAATACACAGTGACAGCCTTCATAAAACCTCCACACTGTATTTAAACGGCCATCTTTAGCTCATGTGTGTTAGCTTTAGCTGTATCTCTCTCACCTCCTGGTCTTCATTGGCTGTCATGTTTTTCGCCAATCCAACACTTTAAACCAGTCATAAACAGCGCTGCTGTACCAGCGGACTGTAGCCAAAATAGCGTTTAAACACTTAATAATATCAACATGCTTTAAGAATTCCCAAGCCTAACTCTGCTGTGCTTTTACAGAGTCACCAGCCCATACAACACAGTAGAATGTCGTCTTACAGGAAACAGTCACTTACTGCCGCCTGCAGGACTGGAGTACAGAAACGCACTGGCAACTGCAACGACCCTTAACAGACCCCAGATGGAGGCAAAACACTATTGCCTTGAGTGTAAAGTAAGAGGGGGGGGGGGGATATAGAATATAAATTCTAAGATTATATGCATCTACTCTTTAAAAAGCATTGATTTAATAAGCCTTTAACTTTACTTTACTTATTGGTTTACACATAGCCTATTGAGTTTTTGAGTCCAAATGCTTGTTTTGTGTTTTCCCCTCAGCAATCCTTTTGTATGTTGATTCAAAACCCTCTTAAATAACAGTCATTTTGTGAATTTAATCCTCCTAAATTTTATTATCCTATCTTAAAAATCAATATAATAAAATGTTTGCAGCAGCAGTTGCGCAACCAAATGAGAAAAATAAAATCACACTGGCATACACAAAGACAACAGTCAATTGTATATTAAGATTTTACCTAAAAGGTTGGACTGTGTGCTTGAGAATATTTCATGAATGTCAGATTGGGCAAGTTGGCATAAATGTTTAAAATGTTATGCATTTGTTTATTAATAACAATATTTGTTGGCCAATGTTGACATTTTCTTCTAGGTGTGTGTGTGTGTGTGTGTGTGTGTGTGTGAGAGAGAGAGAGAGAGAGAGAGAGAGAGAGAGTTAACTTATAATAGGCTGTTTAAAGAAACATCAATATTTTGTCATAATTTACTCACTCTCATGCTGTTCCATCCAGACCTGTATGATTTTTTTTCTTCAGTAGAACATAAAAGAAAATGGTTGTTTTGTCCATACAGTGGAAGTGAACTGTAACCAAAACTGTTTGATTATTCTTCAAAACATCTATCTTCTTTTGTGTTCTGCAGAAGACAGAATATCGAACATGAAGGTGAGTAAATGATGCCAGATTTTTTTTTTAACTATCCCTTTAACAGCAGGAATTATTGTGATAACTTAACATTGAAGTAATCTGCTAAGTATCTACTCAGATCATGATTTATTCAAACTTTTACATTATGCATTATTGAAGCTCATCATTTCCCATTTGCATTCTAATTAATGTGGCTTCTTACATAATCTAATCAGAACAAAACAAAATAATTTTACACCTTTACTTAATAGTTCACATTTACATAGTAATCACGAAACTACACGACTATTTTAGACTTTCTGTGCAAGGGCCTTTACAACGACATGAATGCTGATTATTTGCACTCATTTACATGTGGAACTCCTCTGGTTTACAGGTCAACAAGACAGGTCATCCTCATTGAGTCATGATTAAAGCCCTCTCTGAACATTGAGCAAACCCACCGGCCTTTTAAGACTGAGCTGAGGTGCACCAGAGAGTCGGGGGCAGAAGATTATATCCTAGCTCACATCTGACAGCCCGATAGCCAAATTACCTGTTGGGAAGATTTACTGTTCTAATTTCAGATCTATTTCACCAGACCTCTACAAGTTCTTCCATTAAATAAGCCATCCAAAAATGAGTTTATGAAAGACACAACTCAGGGTCAAAAATAAATCATTTATCATCTGTCTGCAAATGCAATATTTATCATAGCTTCATTGGGCTAACAGTGGCATGACCCCAGAAGATATGTTATTGCTCAAAGTTTTCAGGGAGTTCAGTGAACCAGCATACATACTAATATATAATATAATATAATATAATATAATATAATATAATATAATATATAAATACAAAAAATGCATTTCTTCCTAAGTATCTTTGTCTTGATTTCCAGTACAAATTTCTAAACATTCTTAAATCAAGATTCAATTACTTGAAAAGCAAAATTACATAAAAAGTTTTATCAAAATGAAGTGACTTTACGGTTAAAACAAGCTTTATGCTTAAAATGTCTGCCAATCGGGAAAAAAAATTAAACTTGTTTTTCCTTTAAATATTATTTAAATATATTTTTTCTTGTCTTAAGCATAAAGTCACTTAACGTTCATCATGTTTTTAGAAAAAAAAATCTATAGTTTAAGTATCTTAAGTATATTAAGTAATTTTGCTTGCTTCTCAAGTAAATGTATAGTATTGTGATCAAAAGAGTCTTTGTGATGTGGGGAAGCAAGAAGCCATTTCATGGCACACCTCTCTTCGCAAACGTTCTGTTATGTGCATTAACTTTTGAGCACTCTATACGCTTGATTCAGTTCTGTGGCTTGTTTAGTACTCCCAAAGCTTATGTGGCAGAGCATATACCGTGGAGTCAAAAGTATATATTACACTATTGTATGTTTCTTTAGGCAAAGAACTGCAGGCAGCTGGCCAAAGCTTTAACTCCCACAGTTTGAATTACATGACTGGTTGGCTCTACACAATCTCTTTTATGGCTTGGATGTACAAAGTTGCAGGAGACCTATTGTGTGTATGCTGTAAACCATTTGTATACTTTATTTGGAAGGTATTGCTGAGTTTAAAATCTGAATAGATATAGCATTTCCTGATGACTGAGCAATGATAGTCACAGAAACCATTGTTTCATTGTGGGGCTTTTCTTCCCAGGCCCACAGCCGTTCTGCCAGCATTGCATCTTGGATCGCAATGCTGTTATGTGCTTGCTGGTGGAAAAAAAACAAAACTGTTTTATGCAGAATTATGGAAACATTTTCAACAGAATGCAAAAATCCAGGTAAAACCATTATATTATATTATATTATATATCAAGTAAAAATATAGTGCAAAATTGTATAGGATATAATGTAAACGTATGAATTATCTTATAATTTATGGAGGAGTATTACTTTTTTTTTGACAAAGTATTGATTTTAAGGTAAAAATGCTGTCGAAAATATGTTTTTAAAAAAGATAGTATGAATCTTCAGGAACAGTCTCATTAGTATGGAGGCCTATTTCCCTATGGAAGCCCATTTCTGCCACAAAAAAAAATGTCATATGGGTGAATAATAATTAAGAAATAAAACGTCAAAACTGATATACTAAGTCATAATTATGACTTAAAAGTCAACATTATGACATAAGTCATAATTATGAAATTAAAATTCTAAATTGTATCTCATAAATTTGACTTTGATTTGACTCAAATATGATATATTAGGCCATGATTCTGATTTTTAACTTATAATTGACTTTTAACTCAGAATTCAGACTTTTTAATGTCACAATTTAGACTTTTTATCTTATAATTGTGACGTACTATCTCGTAATTTATGTCATAATTATGATTTACCAAAGAATGATTTTCTTAGGCTATGTGGTGAAAATGGGCTTCCATTCATCAGTCATATAAACCAACCGTCTAAAACGAGCCTGACTAGGCTGAGAGACCATTTCAGACCAGCAAACCAGCTTAGGCTGTTTTTAGGCAGTTTTTCTCAGCAGGGGTCTGAATACAGTGATCAATGAGTCAGGCGCGGGCTTTCACGTGCCCAAGGCTTCACAATTCTAACCCTTCCTTTCTTGCTTGTGTTCTCTGTCTGCTCTTCGTAGGACAGTTTAACGAACATGTAATGGTTCGTGCGGCTCACGCAAATCGAGAGGGCAGAGCTTAGCTGACTCAATTGCGGTACATCTATTTCTTCTTGTTTCCTCTCACGCTGGCGAGTGAATACAGCGCGAGGCGAGGCGAGACGGAGAACAGCACCGAGCGCCACAGGGATGTATACCAAACACAGACAGAAAAACGGACACATTTCATCCACACGATATGTGCTTGTAATGCTATCGGTTTTTCTCTTTAACGGTTTACTGGAAATTGTAAGCGGAAATCCTCGAGAGGAAGGTAAGACACCGCTTTCTTACCCAGAACCTACTTGGAAAGTTGTTCTCCTTTATCAACCAGTTGCGCGCACCCGTGAAGAAGTTTTCTTGCGGGGAAAACGTATTTAAAGAACTTCGAAAAGAGGTTGGGTTAGTAAACAAATGCTAGGTTAGTGTGTAAACAAATGCTTCTGAGCAATAATGTATCAGTGATTTCTCTTCCATATAAGGATTGCAATGGGCGATGTTGCCCACGTTGACTAATCCAAGACCACTTTGTTCTCAGCTGATTGTTTTAAATGTTGCTGATACACGCTTCAGGACATGATTGAACTTTATATTGATCTCGACTGAAATTGCAAGGCGAGGGAGAAAATCTGACAAATAAGCTCGTATAGCCGATCTATCTAACAGTTAAAGCTGAACGACTATTACTGAGACATTTAAGTAGGGCTAAGGATCATTTTCACAACCGGCTACATTTTTTAAAGCACAGGAACCGAATGATTTTCATGACTCCTTTGAGGGTTCTGGAACATGCATCCGAAATAAAATATTCTGCGAGTATTTATTGCTCTACTATTCAGCACTGTATAGCGCAGCCAGTCCTGATATAAATCCACATCATGAAACAACAGGGCAGCGCGCCGCCAGGTGTAGTAAGATTCCCTAATGAATGTTATCAGTTGATTCTTTTTGGTGAATCAAAAACAATCAAGCGCGACCAGTGTAATCATGTTCCCAAATAAGCGAGTCAGTTCAGTTGTGAGCCAGTTATTTTTCGTGGATCAAATCGTACAGCGCAACCGGTAGTCAGAATTGCAAATTAATGACTTACATTAGTCGGTTATTTTCTGCTAAATCAAAAACAAACATCGCGAATCAAAAGCGAATTTTTTGTGAATCGGAAACATACGTCGTGAACGACAAAAACTGCGTGATTGACTCCTATGAGCCGATTCTTGTAGTGAATCTAAAACACTTATGAATGATTTGGAGTGGTTACTTATTTAATCTAGAAACTGTTACTGTGATATGTTGTAGCAAATACAACATAACACAGTAGTGATACTTAAATCACAGTATACTGATGTTGTTTAGATGACGACGAGTAGTTGGTGATTTTTTTTTTTGTGATGAGTGAATGCATTAAATTTCTTACCACGTTCTTTGTAGAATTTTAATTTAATATATTATTTAATTAATTATTGGGCTGCTATCATGCTAAAAAGTCCTTTCAAGTCATTGTCTGTGTAAACAATCTCTTAAAGGGGTCATATGATGCGATTTCAATTTTTCCTTTCTCTTTGAAGGGTTACAAGCTCTTGGTGCATAAAGAAGATCTGTAAAGTTGCAAAGACTAAAGTCTCAAATCCAAAGAGATATTCTTTATAAAAGTTAAGAGTCAGCCACGCCTACCTAAAACGGCTTTCATGCCTGGAGCTGATCTGTGCTGGTCGCTGAGGAAATACATCAACTAGGATCGCCGGATAGGGTTTCACCATGGACGAAGCGGAGTCCAGCCCGGGGTCGTCACATGTGGTTGCCGCAAGCCCGCCGGACACTCCTTCGTCGAATTCGCCGGCCGCCGCTCACTCTAGCCCGCCGGCCTGAAAGCGAAACTACTTTGTTTGGCCTTCCAAAAGAGGACACGACTAGAAATCAGTGGTTAAGTTGTATTTACAACACTGTTCCAGAACAGTTCAACCCAAATATTCAGATGTGTGCAGCACATTTTATGGAGGACTTTGTAAAAAAGTCGATGAGCTTTGTAAAAATCGACGTGTTTCAGAAAGGCGGGGCATAGAGGAGAAACAATAATGTACAGTATGTGGAAAATAATGTGTTTTTTGAACCTTAAACCGCATAAACACATTTCATTACACCAAATACACAAAATAATGTTCTTTTTAGCAACATCATATGACCCCTTTAAGAGAATATTTCAGATTTTTTTATAGCCTATATGTCCTTTTTACCCAAGTATTCCTTGTTCAAAAGTACTTAATGAACCATCAATGTATAATAACCGGGATTGTTTAGAGGACCGCAACCAGAAGTCATATTTGAAAGCGACACATTTCTGCCAAACCACTAAAGGGCACAGAACAAATCGATTTGATCTTTAGACATTAGTCAATCTTTCTGTTGTGAAAACAATGATGTGATGTCAGCCTTAATGACAGGACTCCATTAAAACTAAACTATTATTGATGCTGCAAATCCATTACTGTCAATATTATAAACCACAACATGATCAGGTTAGCCATACTTTAGCCAGCATTCAAGAAGTTCACAATATCAACACCCCAGATGGTGACTGAGCAACAAATGAAAGAGAAAAAGACTGTTGACCGTTTTCTTTTTCTTGTTTTCTCTATCAGAATATTCCATCACAGACATCACTACTCTGTCATTTAATTACTATTTGTTTTAAAGAAACTCAAACAGGCTGTTGGTCTCAGGATATCGGGTTCAGTCATGTTCCAACAGAAACGACACGAGCTCTCTGCGTGTTTGGAGAAGTTGCTACATCTCTCTGAGATTTGACCGGGGACTCTGGGACCTGCGCTGAGCTTCAGTCTCCATATTGCGTGACAGACCTTTAATGCATTTATAACAAGGCTAGTGATATTATCTACGGCAGGCAAGAGCTATTAGCAAGAGCAAATATTCTGCTGAGCTGAGAAGTTGATGTTAAAATATACTTATGGCTTGTTTATACTACATGTGGATTTTAATTGATTCATAAAGCTACCCTATTGTTACTTCTACTTAAACTGAAAGTCTTGTGACATAATAATAAAAAAGATATATTGGCATTTCCTAAAGGAAATATTGCTGATTGTAAGCAGTGCAGGTTCTGTGCTTCATTTGCATATGTAATGAGGAAAATACCAATATCAATTTCAAATGCAAATAAATCCAAGAAATTAAATCCTAATTTAGAATGCAAATATTAAAATGACTTCACTGCCTATTCAGTTTTCAATAGCAAAAACATTCTAGCTTAAGTACTGATTCTTATACTGGGAATATTGGGACAAAAGAGGCTACAAAAAAAATAGTGTCAGGGGATTATAGATTATTACACACAGCTTTGTAAAATACTTGAAGTTAAATATTTTTGTGAAATGACTGTTGTCTTGAATAACTGACCTCTCATCTGGACAATCGATTTCCTAAGTAATAGTGTCTATTGTATCTCTGCAGTCTTTCTTTCTCTCTCTCTTACTCTTTTTCATTTCATACAATGCAAGTTGTTAATTGATGCCATCTTTCATCTCCATACAAATATCGACCGTAGTAAAGCTGGCCTTGGAGGACTTCAGGATTGCTTTTATGCTGAACATAAAACTTGATTCATCTATGTTTAGGTGCAATCTCCGGCTTATTCAGTTTGTTAAAAAATTTGCTTTTCCTTGCCTGTCATTCAGATTGACCAGTAGCTTTCACGTAAATGAATGAATTCACTTTCAATTACTTAAAAAAAAAACTCACCAGAGCCAGTGTGACATTGTTCAACTCATAACAGATCGAATACTCAAAAATACTCAAATTGCTAGTAATTTTCACAAAAAAGAGCAAGTAACAAGGAATTTAATGTGATTTTTTTTTAAGTCAAAAGACTTTCTTGTGTAACATATTCCAATACAGTGTAGCTTGAAATGGTATGTACTTTAAGCTGTTCATGTTGAATTAATTGCAGAGAAAATTGTTGAGAAAATAAGAATATGAACATCAGTAGTATTGTAATTCAATAGTAAATAGTTTGTAAATAGTCCTATTCGACTGGGGACCAGCCTGCGTGTTGTATAAAATTTCAAAGAATTCTTCTCTTCAAGGAAGGCCCGGGTTCATGCATTGTAGACTTATTAGAAATATGCACATAATAGCACAGGAGGTATAAATAAGCCAGTCTTTTTGCAGTGGTCTACTCACAGCGCTTTGTGCTCGCCACAGCTGCATGGGTTAGTTATATCGCCATTATTCATTTATACGCCTTATGTTTATGCGATGAGAAGAAAGATGGATGACTTTGGGTTTCATCAGTATGTCTAAAAAGCCCCTTGTTCCTGGAATGTTCCATTAGTCCCTGGACTACAGTTTTTCTATCAAGATAATGACTTTCATAAATTGGCTCACACAATAGATAATGGTTGTTTTTCCTTGCAAAAGCGACTTTTGTGGCATGGAATCTTATTATAATGCTATCTTTTCTCAAGCTGTAGTCCCTCTGTATGTCTTTATGAATCCTCTCTGTTTTTTTTTTTAAATACAGCATAGATTTCAAATTCTGTGTATCATTAGGTTTTACTGCATGAGAATTCTTTTGTGAAATAGAAGTGTGCTTAATTGTATTGAATGTGTACTTGTAGTGTACTTCAAATTGTAAAAGTATATTTTAAAAAAACGACTTGCAGGTAGACTTGTGCGGGTATTCGGTAATGCGATATATCACGGTAATGACATTTGATACCGGCATATCCCTACAGGTAGTATAATATTAATGAAATAAAAGGCCACTTAAGTATACTTAAAGTACAGTTTCATGACTGTTTATTAACACATTTAAATAACTTAACTTTAAAGTACATTTTAAATCTTTGTTTTAATTATCTTTGGCATGCTTTAAAGAAGTACACTTTGATATCTTGACTAAAATACTAAAGCACATATAAAGTATTTGATTATAATTTTAACTGTAGTATATTTGCATTTAAAGTTAATATATTTTAAAATGTAACTTCATCATTACAAATGTGCAATTACAAATAAACACATGACCTATAATTTTCAGTAGAAATGACATTAAAATATTTTTTCATTTACAATAAATGCTTGTCATCAGTACATTCAAAGTAATAGAAGTAATTCTGAAATTACATATAAATATGTATGTAAGTTGTACTTAAGTGGGTCAAGCTAATTGCATTTAATATAAATTTAAACTATAATACGTTTTCATTTAATTGTAAATAGCATGCAATGTTACATTTAGTGTCTGAAAACATTACATTT